GAAGACTCAAGGCCAAAGGAAGTATTCACCTTGAATCAAAACAAGGCTGTTCTTGTTTTCCAGGATAGGTGGAAATCCATTCCAGTCCCATGTGTTCTGAGAATCTTGCAAATATGCCAGGATGAGCATCAGTACATTTGATTATAGTTTTATCATAAACACTGATGAGTTTAAGATAGTTTTTACCAGTCTTGCTAGTTGTTTGTTATTTTTGGAAATTAGAGCTATGCAAGTTGGAAGAAAATATAGAAGGTTATTACCGTATCACAAAATGCATATCAAGATATTTATGTTATATATAACACATTATAATGCTATCACAAGTAAGTTAAAACTTTAGGAAATTTGTTAAGAGGGTGGGGAAAGGCAGGTTGTTTTTAGTAGACCCTATCTCTATTCTTGCTACTATTCAAACTGATGTTAGATGAACTTCTATCTCAAACTTGCCCACATGGATAATAGATATTTTTATGACACATCAGTAATAATAGGTCAAAGCCATTATATAAAGTAATCAGTGTGATTACCTCTAGTTCTTAACATAAAATATTTACTAAAAGCTTTCTTGGGTCATATTTCTTCACTAAATAGGGTGCCTCATGGGGAAATACAGTACATTTCATTATAATACTTTTGCTAGGACAGTTAATTGCATGTACAAATATATTCTTGATCTAGGTTTCACTGATGTTTTCTGTATATTTGAAATATTTTCCATATAGATTAATAATGTTGGGATAGCCTCTAATTTAAAAGTTTCACTTGGACAGGTTAATTTAATAACATAGTGGCCATGGAATTCTTGAGGTTCATAGATGTGTTCCTATGGGCTTTTGAAGGAAAAATTGTTTACTCCCCAAACCTGAGCGAGTGGGCCTGGCAGAGTCATTGCTGTTGCTCTGGAAATACTATGAATTCTGTTTTAGCCCCAGCTGGAGAAATTTTCACACCTGCACTTTAGGAAAGCTTTCAAAGTTTTTTCTTTCTTTGTTTTGTTTTCTTTTGTTGTTTTAACATGAGAGTCCAGACTGGTTAGATGGGAATCATTGTTTTTTAACCAACTTGTTTTTTAACCCATTGTGCTATGGCATTACAGTCTATATTTTTGAATAAGTTTCCTAAAGTAGATTTTGCATTCTTTGAGTGTAAGAAGGAATTTAAGCTCCCTTTTCTCCTAACACAATTGACAAAATAATTTTTCCTTAAGAGTACAACATTTTATTATTTAATGCCTTATTTTTTCACTCTTTGGATTCTTCATTGTTTAGAGTTTGGATTCATTGAATAGAGATTTGATATCTTTGGCTTGATTCCTTACTACCATTATCAGTTCTGAATAGCATTTTTAATTTTTTTTAAATTTTTTTATTTCAGCATATTATGGGGGTATAAATGTTTATGTTACATATATTGCCCTTGCCCCTCCTTCCCCCCCCAGTCAGAGCTTCAAGCGTGTCCATCCCCCAGATGGTGCGCATGGCACTCATTATGTTTGTATATACTTCCCCCCTCCTCCCCCCTCCCATCTGCCCAACACCCGATGAATGTTATTCCTATATGTGCACTTAGGTGTGGATCAGTTAAAACCAATTTGATGGTGAGTACACGTGGTGCTTGTTTTTCCATTCTTGGGATACTTCACTTAGTAGAATGGGTTCCAGCTCTATCCAGGAAAATACAAGAGGTGCTGTATCACCATTGTTTCTTATAGCTGAATAGAATTCTATGGTTAATTTTTTAACTTCAGGAGATAAAGTGCAGTATAGTTTCCTAAATTTGATAATATAATATCTATTTTTTTTCCTACTAGCAAATTCCATGCTATTGCTTTTTAAAGAAAAGCAGAGGCATTTTTCAAAGATGTGCCAGGCAATCTGTTGTGGTAGTTTAGTATACTGACAAATGCTTTCACAAACTGTGTATGTCTATAGTATATTTAAATACAATTAAAATACAATATAATTAGGAAGTTATGTTTTTCAAAGTTTATGTTTAAATGGGAGGGTTCCCCTCTTTCCTTCATCATTTCTTCATCCATTCTTTTAGACTACTATCTTTAGAAAAGAAAATTGGAATCAATATGAGTTCTGCAAATTGAGTTAAGTTATAAGGAATGTTATATTCCAGCTGGTGATAAATTCTAGCAGGCTTTTTAAAAAAAAAAATTTAAAGTTTGTTTTAAATAAATTTCTACTTAGATGGACATTTGTACTAGGTAATTTCATAACATTGATTTCTGTTGGTCAAGAGGCTAAAACTGATGTTTTTAATATAGCAAGTAAACCAATATCATTGATCTCCCTAAAAATGATTATTTAGATAGTATGCATTTGTCACTTTTGTTTGCTTTAAACTCAGCTATAATCAATCAAATTTATTTATTCTTTATAAGAAAGACTTAATTTAATGTCACTGTGATCTGAGTATTTTGGTTTATTCCATGGTGGCTGATTAAATGGATCAGATTTTCAACTAATTTAAAGATGTTGCTACCATAATTTGTAAATTTTTTCTCTACATTTTGTACAAGTTATGATGAGCAAGCAATATGTATATAGAGAAGAAGGAAAACTGGACAATTTAACATAACTAAAGGAAGGTAAGCAACGGGTTGTCCAGAGAATTCTGTATCTCTGCATACGTGGACATTTGACTTTGGAAGATACATGCTACTTTTGGAAATGACGTCAAACTTGTTCTAAATAAAAAAGGGGAAACCTTTGAATGATTTTAGTCCTCAACTAAGGTAACTAATTGTGAGTAATCTATGATCCATTTTTATTGATGAACTAATTAGAGAGGGAACAGTTTGCCCAGAGTCATATATTTAAGTGCTTTGTGATACATTTCTATGTATTTATAACTTTTAGGTATTTTTGAAAGATGCCAACTATAAGTAATATAAATTGTATAATTACCAGAGTGATTTTGTAAGATAATTTGCAGTGGATATTTATTACTTGGGCTGACTGCAAAATTTCCATTTTAGTTTGTCATTGTCTGGGTTCATCTCTTGTGATATATTGTTTTATAGTTTAGGGGAAAAGAAGAACAGAAACAGAAATATCTCCAGCTTAAAAAAAATAAGCCGAAATGTTAATTACTTTTACTTGTTTTCTGTTCTGTTATGCTCGATAATGATGGGTTCCTTCACAGTGGTATTGAAAGAAGTGGCTTAGCAGTCCTATAAAGCTTTGTATTGACTTTGTAATAGAATTAGGAGAAAATGGTGTAGTGTTCTTAATTTATGTCTACATACTGTGTCAGTATACATTACATTTTGAAGCCGCTTTCCTTTACCAGACAAAATATGTAATAAGTTTCCTGAAAAAGTCCAGAGAAGCCCTGAACTGAACTGAAAGCTGAACTGTAGGCTGGAAGACCTTAAGAGATTCCCCACTCCTTATGCTTATTTTCTGGCTAGGCTACATTATTCTTTTCCAGCCAAATAGGAATACCTTGGTTTTAAAGATCTTCCATGGAAGGCTACTTTAAAATGAGCAGGCTCCCTTGGCAATCCATTTCAATGATCTAAAACCCTATACTCACAGAATATTCCTTCTTCTTATCTAACCTCAATTCTCCTTAAAAGTTAACTTTATTCCTCCCCACCTCATTTAGTCTTTGTCACAGGTCTCCATAATCTTTAATAGTGATTCTTAAACTTCAGAATGTGTTAAGAGTCTCCTGGAGGCCTTGTTAAAAACACAGATGCACCCCAACCCTAGAGTTTCTGATTCCATAGATCTGATCTGGAGCCTGAAAATTTGCATTTCTCATAAGTTTTCCAATGCTGCTGCTTGGGAGACCACGCTTTGAGAGCCACACACCTATAAAGAAACCCTGCATGCCCTTACAAACCACTATGTGACCTCTCAGACTGCTCTTTAGGATGTACACTAGAATTTCCAGCCCATATGCACCTAGCTTATTTACTAATTCTTTATCTTCACATCACTTTTTCTGAACATTTCAGTTCCTCAGGATCTCATAATTGTATCACACAAACCCTAAGAATGGTTTGACCTTGAATGAAAACAGTAGAACTACCTTATGGTTTCAGTGACATAAAAATTCTGCACTTGTATCCAATTTGCAGGCTTTCTTGTTAATCACAACTACATTTCCAAAGCATATTTTGCATTGCTACTGAAACCTTATTCTTCCAGTTCAGTTTGTATATAACTATTTGCATCTTGAAAGAACATTCTTCTGTTTATGTC